ATTTCAGTTAAAAATATCAAAGCAAAGATATTTACACTCAGTTTCCTGTCATCAAATATCCTGACTAGTTTTAGTTTTTGCCTTACCAAACAAAATAGTTTTCTGTGTGCGCTTCAGCCATGTTGTGCATGCAACAGGGCAGGAAAAAGGGGAGCTTTATCTGAGAAATGCCACCTTATCAAGCCACTTAAAGAGTGGGTGGCTCACAACATGCCTTTCCTAAAGTGGTGTGTGCCTCCCTCCTGTGCACCAGTGCCATTTGCTGCCCATTTTCAGTTGTCCATGTTTATTTCCCCACACATTTTTCAGTTTTATTTGACTTCTAGTTAATTTTTTTTTTTTTAATTTAAGCATGAAGAGCATGAACCGGACCCACTTTCTTGCTCTCTTTAGCCGATGCAAGCAAATGCTGGAGGACACAAGCCTCGCCGTCCATGATGTGGAAATGAACAGAACTTTTTCCAACACCACCGTGAGTCCTCTTTCTCACACTAATCCAGCGTTCTCCACTTCCAGGGAGACTTACGACAATGCTTACTTCTACATACTTTTTGTAATGATCTTTTACTCCTTCCTCGCCATGACACTTTTCAAGTGCTTCATAGGTAGTGATGAAGAGAAAACAGATCCCTATGAAGAGTTTATAGGAACTAGGCGCCCGTCAACACAAACATTCAACGCAGGCCACATGGCTGAGAAGTTTTACTTTGAAGAGGAGAGCAGCCTGTGAGCCACAGGCTTTCTGAAGAAAAGCGGAGGAGGGGTACGGGTGCATATGGGGAATGTTTTGACAGTCACCAAGCCAGAAAAACGTCAGACAAGACCTGCTAGTGATTTTACGAAACTCTCAGTAACTTCATTTTCCCCTTTCCTCCCGGTACCCCTCCTTTCGCCAACTGACAATCAGAAAACTCACGCAAGTACGGCTAGTCGGCGGACATGAGGGGAGACTTACGCGCCTCTGATCATCTGAGAGAAGGATGGAAACATGCAAAAGTGTGGGTCAATGGCGGGCCGGAATCTCCTCCTGTGAGGCCCAATCAGGATCAATAACACCGGGGCCCACAACGTACACACACTGCAGGGAACAAGGAATTACGAACTCTCTCCATGAATGTGTGCATGTGTGTGTGCGTGTGTATGTGTGTTTTATAGAATTAGAAAATGTAAAAAGTGTAAATGTTAATCTGCTTTATAACTTTTTTCCTGAATATGTACAGTACATTCCTAAAGTGTCGAACCCTCTTAAACTTTAACATTTTATTGCATGACAACCTAAAATTTCTATTTATTTTATTGGCAATTTACATAATAGACCAAACAAATCAGCAAATAACAGTAAAGAGGAACGTAAATGACGTATAGCTCTTCATTTTATTTTACATAAAGATCTTAAAACTGTAGCGGCTATAAATGTTCAGCCATCGATTCAATACAGTACTTTGCAGAACCACCAGTACCCAAACAATTACAACTGCAAGTCTATTGTGTGCAGAGTGAAATGTTATTTTTCTTATTCACATCTCTGGCAGTATGTGTAAACCTGTCCTGCTGAAACCTAAACTGCTGTGATAATCTCAAGTCTTTTGCAGCCTCTTCAAAGATTTTTCAGCATTCACCACCATCAAGAACTCCATTCATCCTGACCAGTTTTCTGTTCTGTTCAGGCTAATGCACCCACTTAAGTTTCCACCACATATGATATTTTGTATGTTAGCCAAAAGTTATGTTTTTATTTTTTCCTGAATTTCTGTTTAGTTTAAATTACAGGTAGAATCTTTTTCCTAAGACGCTGACCTTTGAAGCCAAATGTCTAATTGTATGTAAGGGTATTAGAATAAAAGGGATTCGATATGTGTGCATACTGCATTTTCATATATGAAAAAAAAACTAAGCGCTTTTTTTTTACACTTCAAAATTATGCAGTACTTTTTGTATGTGTATCAGATAAATTACATTGACATAATACCCGTTGTTTATTAGTATAGTGTCACTAGATGAGAAGGAGCTGCTTGGGTCTGTACTCTTTCGCAATGCACTGTAAGATAAAGACGCATTATTCATTCAAGAAAAAAATAAATGGTCCAAATTAGGCTTTAAAAATTATTTCATATCATTCTGACAATAAACATTGATCTTATAGCATTTTGTGCTACTTCTAACCAAAGTGCAGTTGATTATTCCAAGACACGTTGACATCTCAGGCCTACATTGGCTCTGCAGTAGTCACAATTGAGGGACATTCCTTTGTCATTATATTGTAATTGATCTGCAGTTTATGCACAGTTACAGATCGTTTCAACCTCAAAGTGACCCCTTCAGAGCCAACTTTACAAAGCTTTGGTGAAATGCGAACCCAGGACTCCCTCTGCAGAATTAACTTCAGTTGACTGGTGGGTTGCTGTGGGGAGAATTTCTTGAGAGAACACGCGCTTCTTATTTGTGGCATAAATTTCAAAAGTTACCAGAAGAAGAGAAAAGGAGGATACTTCAGATGAGCAGTCAGCTGGACACGCAGGTATTGCTATAAATCTCTCAGATGCACAAAACTTTGGTGCGATTTGTACAATTAAATCTCCTGGTGGGGTCAAAGGTGGACCTGGGCGGACAATGCCGCTCTAATTTGAACTATCCGCTCCTGCCGATCCCTAAGGCTGAGTGGGCCTGTTTTCACTTCACCCTTCATAATTAAATTTTTGCCTCGTCCTCCTCCTGTGAGGAGCAGGGGTCAGCATGTGTTTGTACAGGCTCACGCCCCTGGAAAACTAGCTCTCTTTTTGGACAAATATTTCCTAGTACTCCAAATGCTAACACTTTTCATTCTCTTTTCACAAATGGTTCATGTAGAACTGGATTTAAAGCATTTAATGTTAATGTTGTATCAGCCAGCTGAAGAGAATTTAGCATAATAAGGCAAACGTGAAAATTGCAATAGATGTTGAATTCTTTTCAATGTTTTCAATTGTTCACGTACAATAAATGAAATATTAAATATCAGTGCTTTATTAAATATAGGTTATCTTTCAACATAACTATGCTAATTGTTATTTTGGATGTCTCAATAAAACTGCGTTTTATATCACAAATTAACAGGTTTGTTTATTCTTCCTGTGCTTATAGTAATGCTGTCTAAACCAAAGATATGCTGCCATCTGCTGGTCAAAATATAACACTGCTGACGTTTGAATGGGCGGGTTTTGGAGACTGTTAATGCAATACTATTGGTCAGTAACTTTCTTGTCCTAAAGCTAAATACACCAACAAAAAGTTATCCTGCAGCAGGTGATACTGTACTCCCAGTGAACTTTGACATCACTGCATACGAACTAAAGAGCTCATGATATACTTGGTGTTCTAATTCTGGTCATTAAATTGAAAATTAAATTTACATTGCAGGAAGATAGATCCAAATCAGCAACATGATCCACACATTCTCAAAAGCATGAGTGATGATGCACAGATATATTTATAGATGTTGCACAGATATATTTACAAAAGGAGAGAAATGAAGTAAAAACAAATGTAACTTAGCTTTGTTTTATAATTAACTTATTTTTGTTGATAGCAACTTTTTTTTAAAATTTGTAGTACAAACGACATTTATAATACAATGTCTAAAGATTATTGCCAGTTAACGTTACCTGGAGCAGCTCCCTCTATTTCAGTGTATCCCAGTCATACACACTGCCTCACATATCTACAACATATATAGATTCATCACAAGAAGACTGAAAAAAATCACCTGCATAGAAAAAGATAAACACACCAATTTCTGACAAAGTGGAAATTTCCATTCTTTTTCAATATATACTTGCTGTCATGAAGAAACCACCCAATGCCTCCCATTGTTTTAGAGACTTAAAAAAAAAAGGTACACTGTTTTTGAATTCAGCTTTTTTACAGAGTAAATCTTAATTGTTTTGGGGCTCAGAGAAATTCACAGCAGAATTAATTTGTTGTTTTTGCCAATAGGATGAAAATTTGAAGGAAACACATGGCTACTTAGCATTTCTGCCACATAGACCCACTCCATGCCAGTAATGAGCTATGATTCTTTGGGTTTGGGCCAAATGCTCACCTGTATCTGGCCCACAGCCAGCAGAGATAACTTTTGTTGTCAAGGGAAATGCCAAGAGAGAATAATTCTCTTTGCTGTAATGCAGTCACAACCTTTCTCCAGATTTCACCTTGCGGACGGATTCTTTGGCAGCAAACAGAGAACAGGACATAAGAATAACTAAATTTTGAAGTCAACAGACGCATTTTCTTACTTTAAAGATGACATCCACCAGAAAGATACAAGTGAAAACACATCAGGACTACTTATATGATCAGAGGCGTTCATGTCTCCAGAACTACATTTCCAGAACACGTTTATGACACATGGCATGCCTCCAGAATGAAAACTGGGGCTTGGACAGTCCCAGGCTGCAGTTCAACAGTTGTAATGATGCTATATGATGGTGAACTGTTAGCTGATCTGTTTGCTGAGCAGTGGTGTGATAAAATGCATCTTGTTAATGCATCACCTAAAATAAAATAACATTTATATATTTCCTACAAGATTAATCAGACAAATGTTCACTTTTGTCTGCACACATTCCCAGGCAAACTTGTTGGCAATCAATCCTGAGGTTATTGCTCAGCAATGTGAATGGACAGTCTTTCTTAGCACCACAAGGTTGCTCATCAGGTTTGGGGACAATTTTTTGAAACTAGGAGGGTTGCTTTCCGTTTCCTCATTCTTTATTTGTTTTTGTTTTAAATCACTAGAAATCTCAGAATCCACACTTTTGGTATCTGTTAATAAGTCAAAATGCACCAGGGGAAACTTGCTCCTGCTTTTGTTGTCGTCCCACTTTATGCCTTTGTGTTTGACAACATCAACTATCAGTGCATGTATGTATGTATGGAGAAAGGATGAGAAACTTCTACAAAGTTTCGCTCCTAATTTTTTTTGCCATATACGTAAAAATCTTGTCTCAACTGTGAATCAGTGCCATTTTCCTTCAACAGTTTATTGTAGAATGTGTTTATCTGGGTTTACAGAACAATAATATTCTTTACCAGTTGTTGTAGAGAAAAAAAGAGCTTAGAATCTGTCGAAAAAATTACAATAATGATTGGTACCAATAAAAGACAAAAATTTTAACTCCAGAATGTTGGCTTCACCACCCACTCTGTCATCTTCACCCACTCCGTCAACTGCATCACTTTGGTTTCATATAGTTGAATACAATGTGCTTGATACTCAGAGAGCAATTTTTACAGGTTGATTGAAGAAGGGTGTTGGATAAATACTGCAGGAAAGGAGAAACTTGTTAATCATTAGCAAATAACTTTGTGATCCTGACAATGTGTGATGCAAATTAAAAGGGAATTTATACTTACAGTAAGCAAAGCCTGACGAGTCCCATTATTGTTATTGCTACCTTGGGTTAACAGAGAGACTTTTAGGTGAAGTGTCATAGATTGGAAATCTGAAACAAAGTAATAGGATAAGTAAACTCTGCATTTTGACTTTTCTTATCCAAACTCACGCTACTCGGCTGCACTTCATTTTTACTACCATTCAAACAAAATATCAACTCAACGAAATAAAGCAGCTTTACATGAAAATATTAATCCTTTGATACCTGGAACAATTTAATTGTTGATAATTAAAATATCATGTCTAGCATAGGGCTGCAAGTAACGATTGTTTTAGTAATCAAGTACTCTTACTATTAATAGGCTAAAAATTGTACATTCTTCAGATTTTCAACTTAACCACGAGAAGTTGAAAATAGGTCTCTTGAGTTGTGGGTAGAACATATCATTAAGGTTTTATATTAAGATTCTTAATATCTTACTTAAATGCAAAAATCATATATTTATATGTATATATATATCTTTTACAATTTTAGCTTAATTACTGCTCTGAGTGTGTTGCTCTTTCAGCAAATAACAGTTTATTTATTAGTATGCTCCAGTTAATGATTAATCCATTCCTAAATTAGTTGATTGTTATCTCAGTAATCGATTCATCGTGATTAATCGTGTCAGCTCTACTCCGGTGAACTCAATTCTAACTTAGGTTTTGTCATGAAGTAACATTTTAGCCGTTCAGGCTGCATTGTCTCTGACTGTCAGGTTAACCAGTGAACACATTGGTTAACCTGTAAATGTGGAAGTTGATGTGTTGTAGTCAGCAGACCTTTCAGAGGCTTGTGACTCAGCGGTCTCAGTCAGCGGTGGAGAAAGAGTGCTGCTATTGGTTGAATTGAAGACGGTAGAGAAAAAAAATGTCACATTATAACTGTGTGACTTTCATGTTAATACACTCAAAGTATGTTTTTGTAATTGACAGAAGAAATTTTTGATATTTCATAAAGGCACTTTCACAATATTACATAGTATCCAGAAGACAGATTTTCACTGCACATTTAGTTCAAATGATGAAGTCATGGCACCTTTAAGTGTTAGACTTGACGGTTATATTAATTTTCTTAACCTTAAAGGTTAATTGGTGTTGAGCAGCTTGTAAGGTTACCTGAAAATCTCCTGTTGGGATAAAATATCTACTGCTGTCAAGAAAAGTAAGATGAGAGACTACAGTATTTTAAATTTTACAGGCAACTGCATTGTAAAATCTATTTTAATGTAGTGTGCTATTTTAGTTGTGATTACTGTCTGTCATGCAAATCATATGTTTGTTTATCGTATGTTTACTAGGACTCATTTCCTCCATCTTGACCCACGTGTTTAATTAATTTAATCAGTCTCAAACTATTGAGTTTAGGCTCCATTGTAAAGAATTATGTTTTCCCTTACTTTATTGTGTTTACTCTTACTTACAGTTCATGCAGGTCGAGTTAAAGTCAGAGCAGCAGTCCCTAAAGTTCACACAGGCCTGATCACAGTAACATGTCTTCCTAAAACAGCCATTATTCTGACCCGCACAGCACAGTATTGGTGGATCTGAGCAGCCTGGACCAACTAGAGAAAGCACAGATTTTTCAGATGAAACTCAACATGATTTATTTATACTTTTTTTTAATCTTTAAAATACTCAATTTAAAGTGGAAAATAATTTAACTGTCTGGCAGACACTGATACATGGCTTATAAGGGTTACAAACATAATGAGAGCAATGAAAGCAGATGCAGAGCAGTAAATTAAAGGAGTGAAACTGCTTGTGTTTGTGTTACCTGTTGCGTTGGCAGTTGTGACTGTTGTTTCTGCTGGAAAATTGCAAAGCACAAGTCAGATGAATTTTTAAAGAAAGAAAACTCCAAGACAAACAGCTCAGTTAGCCAGCAGTTGGAGTCCACTGACAATTGATGAGCTCTAGGAATGAAAACATTGCTTACCTGTTGTAGTGGCAGTGGCATTTCTAACAGTTGTTTCAGCTGTAATTTGCAAAGCACAAGTCAAATGAATTATAAAAGATATAAAACTCTAAGATCAAATAACTCGGTTAAGTAGCAGTTGGAATGCACTGAAAATGGATGCACTAAACCTAGGAAACAGTGATTGTGTTACCTGGTGCATTAGTATTCGTAACAGTTGTGTTAGCTGGAAAATTGTGAAGCACAAGTAAAATAAATTAAAAAAACAAAACAAAAAACGGTTAAGTGGATTTCAATTAGCCAGCTAATTGGAATCCACGGAATGCAGTGAATGAAACTAGTGGCTGTTTTACCTGTTGCGTTGACATTTGTAACAGTTGTTTCAGCTGGTGAACAGTAAAGCACAAGTTAAATACCCAAATAAGAAAACACACACTACGTCACTAGCAGTTCTGGGTTTCCTCTGCTTTTTTTTTTCTTAGCTGCAAAACTATAATCTAATTGGTTTCTACAATCTTCAGATTGAGATTTTTATTTGGATCATTTCGCTTGGCATGTTTGTCCCCCTAAAATCATGTTTAGAAAATTTACTTAGCAACTAGTTACAAAAAAAATGCTTTCACATACATTTAAACATTTGGGACTCTGCCAAATAAGGTTACTTCCTTCATTGACGTGAGCTACAAAACAAGTTAAGCAGTAAGATTTCCCTGAATGACTTGACAGCCCAAAAGAAAAAAAACAACAAAAAATACCAATGAAATCTGACTAAAGATCTGGTCAAGTGTGTTTAATGTCCAACTGACAATTTTTTCTCCCGCAAACATTTTTAATTTGTGTGATTTCATCACATTTCCAGTTAGACCTCCAAATCAATCTTTTTCTCAACCTCTGTGATTTAATCAGATACTAACCAGATTTATCTCCCATAAAAAGAGCTCCTGTTGCAGTCTCTCATTCATTAAGAAGTAGTTATCAGTTTGATTATATAGTATATTGTTTATTTTGCTCATTACTTAACTGGGCTTGCTTATTTTTGTAACTGGTTTTGTTTATTAGAATATTGTAATTTCATGCACAATAGTTTTTTGTTTTTTTTTTTATAAATAAGCTATTGTAAAGCAATACATTTATGTGCTTTAAAATGTTTGCCATGAAAGTCAGAGAGAAATCAATGTCTCCTTTTCTCAAAGGGTCATAATTCCTCAGGTTAAATTAAATGTAAAGAGGTGGGTCGATCTGGAATTTCAGTGCGACCAGATGAGCTATTAAAAAGTAATTTAAAGCAGCTATCGTTAAGTAAGGTACCATTTGAAAGTATTTAAACATCTAAGCCTACATTTTAGTAGAAAAGGACTGATAATGAATGTGATAGTGTTGTAACAATTACCTGTTGCATTCGTTACCGTTTCAGCTGAGAAATGACAAGGCACAGGTTCATCAAATTAAACTGAAATATTATAAATAAAAAGTCCTAATGTGCTGTGATGCTTAGAACTTCAAAATAGATTTAAAACGTTCCACCCCATATATAGATACAGAATTGTACCAGTAAAATTGTAGGAAATAGGCAGAGAAGTTTCTGGACACATTTCACAAGGTCAACAAAGAGTAGTGGAAAATGTCAAATATGTTAATGAAATTACCTGAAGGACTGGTATTTCTGTATGTCGTCTGAGCTGGAAAAGACACAAAAGCAAAATGTTAATTTTCAGAAATTAATTTCAACAAAAGTTATCAAACCCTTTGTTTTCAGATTGTTCATTGAAGTGAGTATCTGCAATGTAGCTTGTCCTCATGTGGTACATCTATGGAGCTGTTGTGTATTTTTCAAGGTAATATTTCAAAGTTGTTAACCCTCTGATGCATAAATGGGTCATTTTTGACCCAGGGAGGTCATCTTTTAGCAATATCTTTGTAATGAAAAGTTCTCATTTCGTATTGCTCAAAAAATGTTACTAATCTCATGCAATTCAATTTTTTAATTTATCTAACACATTTAAAGAAATAACATGTTTAATATTACCACCCCATTCTTCCATGACAGGGTCCAAAATTACCTGTATTATCATTTTCTATGGAATTTAATGGGAATCTTTCTTACCAGCTGTGACTGTCAAGAACAGTTTTTTGTGAACCATACATACTGAGTTCTAAGTCTCAACCCTGTATAATATTTTGCAAAGCAAGAACTTTTACATCTTTTTTACCTCACAAATGTGTAGTTTAAAAAAAAAATAGAGCTGTGACAGCATTATCACAAATCAACTTGGCCTTCTTTGAAGTTAGCCAACACAAGCCAACATTACTGCCTATACTTTATTGTGCATGTGTGTCATTTTGTGTGTCTGACACTCTGGATGAGAAAACCCGAAGAGAAAATGTATTCAATGACATGCCAAACCTGTTTATCAATGTGTTCAAGATTCTATTATCGCAATATATATATATATATATATATATATATATATATAAAAAAAAAAGATAGCTATATTAAGTGGAAAAATGAATGCACTCTGCCTTTTTTCAGCTCATTAAACAAAAAAAAAAGTCTTAAGACCAAATTTTTGTTGCCATTAAAGTCATGGCAAGAAGCCATTTCTGCATCAAATGTTTAAACCTTTTGATAGATTACTTTGAACTTTAAGAGTTACAGGAAATCTTGATTCAAGAGGATTTCAGAAGCTAGTAGAATGTCATTTTCAACTCACCATTACAGGAATATAGCGCCCCAAAGACAAGAAAAAAGTAAAGCAGGAGCAAAGCCATTTCTCTGTGAACAAGTCTGAAGGTTCGACTAACTAAATGTGCCGTTAGCGAACAAGCATGCCAACATTCTAGTTGTACAGGTTCAGCAAAGGAAAAAAAATAGTTTAACAGCACAGACAAGTCATCATTTCCTCTGAATTTATTAGACTGAAATGTCAGAAGGCAGGGCATTGCATTTGAAATACACTTTACATTTTCTTACTTATGAATCTTGCATTTAGATTCAAATTGCATTTATTCATTTGAGTATTTTAACAGATGATCATGAGATTACGTTGCAGAGAAACATCGATTCAAAGGAAACTGGAACATGCATAGCAAAGCCAGTCTGAAAGTTTTAAGGCACAGTGCCACGCTACCTCCAAGGATTTTACAAAGTTAGAGATGAAACATGAAAATGTAGACTTAGGTATACACTCTCCAGCTTTCACCAAACTCTTGTGTATTCTTAGCAATAGCTCCATCTGGCTTCACTTTGTCGTTTGTCTTTCGGCCGTCAAAGTTTCCACACAAGCCTTCCACTCTCCTTTTATAAAGGAATGGCAGAATGATATCTACAGAACAAAGAGGTCTGCATCAGAAAACAGAATTAAGATGTGTCTCACCCAATGGGTTAAGGATTCATTACCAGCTTTACAGTGTCCACTGAATTCCACAGACAGACCAAAATCTGTCTTTAGGTAGATACGAGAAGAATGCATTTGGATCTTAAGGCCAGGAGCTGCTGAACCTGGAGCTTCAATTCTTTTTCCATCCACCTGTAAGGAGGAGAAAAAAAAAAAAAAAAAACAAGTCATGAAAAACCAGAAATATCAAAATATCCATACAGCATTATTTTCCTACTGGTAGACTAGGAATTTGTCTACCAGCAAGTTACTTACAAACACTTTCTTCTTGTGCTTAAGCTCTACAGTGTGATTGTAGACTTTAATTTTAAGCTCCTGCAATCTTTGTTTGTGCTCTTCTTCCTCCTCCTCCTCTCCACTGATTTCACTTCTCCCAGTTTCCTCACTGCTGTCAGTGCATGCATTTGTCCCCTCTATATAGATTTCTGGGAGATTCTTTGGCAGATTTTTGGTTCTCACCAGCACATACATGTTTGTCCCCCTAAAATCATGTTTCAGTTTATCAAATGTTTTGTACTGTGGGTCTCCTTGGACGATGCATTCACCACCAAAGTACTGCAACATACCTGTAGACTTGCAATAATATTTGCCACGAAAATTAGTAACATTGACAATACTTTGAGAGTTAAGGAATTTTCTTGCCATACCTGTAGACTTGCAATAATATTTGCCAGTTTCGAATTGAAGGCACACAGCATCATCTTCACACCCATCTTCGTCTTTGCAGTCGATCTTTCCCTCTCCGTCATCTTCTTCACACTCACATTTCTGCCTGCAGTGACTAGTGTACCATACTTCATTGAACTAGAAAATAACACAATCTTAGAGCTATATACATAGTTATGGAGGCAAATTTAGTGACATTTGAAGTTACTCACCTGGTGAGTTTCACCATTCCTATCAATGCAGCCACATTTCTGTACAGGCACACAAACACTCCCTTTTTGTACAAAGCCATCATCACATACACATCCTGATGCACAAGAAATCTCAGAACTGCAGTGTGGTGGGCCAGCCAGGTTTTTGCATGTAGGGCTGCATGCAGGAATGCAAGTGGTGTAGTGACTGTTCTCTGCACAAGAGGGTGCTGAAAGACATTTGACAACTTTCAGTCAGACTCTGAGCATAAACAATTAGATATTCATGGAAAGATGCAAGTAATTTACTTGAAAAATGTGGTGTTCCTGGTAGTGGAACAGTTTGATGGGGTCTCATTGTAGGATTAGTGGAAACATTAGGCCTTAATGTTGATACTTGTGATTCACTTGTGGGTGGGATTTCAGGCGTTTGTGATGTAGTTGAATTTGGAGGGTGTAAACTGGTCTCTGAAGCAGGTGTTGGGTTGGTTGGAGCTGGAAAGTTAGGCCCAACACTGGCATTGCCTTGTTCAGTTGAAGGATGTGGCACCCCTGTGGGTACATGCTGGGGTTCAGTCTCATTGGTGGGTGCTGCGTCAGTCGCAGGTGGAACCTGGGGGCCAGCAGTAACATTGCCTTGTGCAGTCGTTAGATGTGGCCCACCTGTGGATGCAGGTTGTGGCTTTGTCTCATTGGAGGGTGCTGCATTGGTTGTAGCTTGAATCTGGGGCCCAGTAGCATTGACTTGTTCAATTGTAGGATGTGGCCCACCTGTGGGCACAGGCTGGGGTTCAGTCTCATTGGAGGGTGCTTGGTTGGTTGTAGCTGGAACATGGGGCCCAGCAGTAGCATTGCCTTGTGCAGTTGGGGAATGAGGCCCACCTGTGGGCACAGGCTGGGGTTCAGTCTCATTGGAGGGTGCTTGGCTGTTTGGAGCTGGTACCTGGGGCCCAGTAGCATTGCCTTGTGCAGTTGTGGGATGTGGTGCAGTCTCATTGGTGGGTGCTGCATTGGTTGTAGCAGGAACCTGGGACCCAGCAGTAGCATTGCCTTGTGCAGTTGGGGAAGGTGATGCAGTCTCATTGGTGGGTGCTGCATCGGTCACAGCTGTAACCTGGGGCCCAGCAGTAGCATTGCCTTGTGCAGTTGTTGGATGTGGCCTACCTGTGGGCACAGGCTCGGGTTCAGTCTCATTGGAGGGTGCTTGGTTGGTTGTAGCTGGAACCTGGGTCCCAGCAGTAGCATTACCTTGTGCAGTTGTAGAATGTGGCCCACCTGTGGGCACAGGCTCGGGTTCAGTCTCATTGGAGGGTGCTTGGTTGGTTGGAGCTGGAACCTGGGTCCCAGCAGTAGCATTGCCTTGTGCAGTTGTTGGATGTGGCCTACCTGTGGGCACAGGCTTGGGTTCAGTCTCATTAGAGGGTGCTTGGTTGGTTGTAGCTGGAACCTGGGTCCCAGCAGTAGCATTACCTTGTGCAGTTGTTGGATGTGGCCTACCTGTGGGCACAGGCTCGGGTTCAGTCTCATTGGAGGGTGCTTGGTTGGTTGGAGCTGGAACCTGGGGCCCAGCAGTAGCTTTGCCTTGTGCAGTTGTGGGATGTGATGCAGTCTCATTGGTGGGTGCTTCATCAGTCGCAGCTGGAACCTGGGGCCCAGCAGTAGCATTGCCTTGTGCAGTTGTTGGATGTGGCCTACCTGTGGGCACAGGCTTGGGTTCAGTCTCATTGGAGGGTGCTTGGTTGGTTGTAGCTGGAACCTGGGGCCCAGCAGTAGCATTGCCTTGTGCAGTTTTAGAATGTGGCCCACCTGTGGGCACTGGCTGGGGTACAGTCTCATTGGAGGGTACTTTGTTGGTTGGAGCTGGATCCTGGGGCCCAGCAGTAGCATTGTTTTGTGTAGTAGTATGCAGTCCAGTCTCATTGGAGGATGCTGGAACCTCAAGGGCATTTGTTGTCATCCACTTTACTGGTGCCACAGTTGCTGGGGTGACCAAATCTGCAACAATGAGTTAATTTTAGTCCTTTTAGAGAACTCTAAGAGCTAAACAATACAAGATTACCTTGGCAGCCTCCTCGATAAAGTTTTATATCATCCAAAGCTACACCAGATTCAGTGGTTCCTCTTTGTCCCTCCAAAATGATCTGAATCAAAACCACAGAATTAAGGCATGTTCCATTGTCACTTAAAACTACAATGTACTTTAATATTTGGGAAAATATGAGAGCCCCCACCTGAAATGTCCCATTTCCCACAAAGTCCACCTGAGCAAGATGCCACACATTTCCTTGGTCATTTCTTCTTCTCCATAAGACAGTAGTCTGTTTGCCTTGAAGCAGGTATACATGAAGACCCATTGTTTCAGAGCCAGACATATGATACCAGAATGTTAGACATTGTGGGCCAGTGTCTGAACACTCTCTGCCAATAAGACGAGCAGTGTGGCCTGGTGATGCCATGCTTGCGTCAATGTGGAGATAGTGGCCATCTGGACAGGGAGATAACCAAAGGTATAGATTTTCTAATTCTTGAGAATTAGAAACCAAGACTCAAGATGTAGCTCAGTTTTGCTAAAATCAGTTGAATACCTCCTGTGGTGTGATCTGAGAGAGGACCAATGATCAGTGTAGAGTTGAAACCATTACGTCTTTCCCAGTCAAACACATCAGTGTGCATCTGACTCCATTGGCAAAAATCTTTTTCAAAGTCACAATCAAGATGGCATACTGAAATGAAAAGTTAGCAATTTGTTGAGTTAATTCTTCCAGGCAGTAGTTTTAAGAAAAGAAAACATGGCTTTACCTGGGTGTCTGGCTTGATCAGGAGTTTTGGGTGCATTTTCCATATTGATGGTCATTAGTTTAATTGTAGAAGGCATAACATTCATTGTTGGCACCTCGGCTGTGCCATTCAGCATGGGGGTTCCAGATCTGTTGTGGTAGGCGAAGTGACACTCAGAGGTGTTGTAACATTTCCTATTGTAGGTTCTGGAACCATCATGGTGGGTGAATTGACACTTGGGCTAGATGCCATTTCAAATTCAGGTTTAACAGGAATAACTGTAGCAATGCCACTCAGATCTGTAGGATGAGAAAAGGTTAGCTTTTGTTTTCTTGGGGGTCGGGGGAGGAATAAATAAAAGCTTACCTGAACATCTTCCGTGGTGCAGTGTAATATCATCTATGGCCACATCTGATTGATCGTTGGAACCCCTCCGTCCCTCTAAGATAATCTGCATGGTGAAGTTAGATTTGTAAGTGTCCACAATAATTTTGAATCAGCTAGATATTCTACATTTGGATACATCACCTGAAACTCTAGAGTTGTGTTTAGATCAACTTGGGCCAAGTGCCACATATTGCCATGGTTGTTACTCTTCTGCCAGACTGCCTTAGCTACTTTGTTCTCAAGAAGGTAAATACGGAGGCCCATTGTGTCTGCCGACCCATACATATGGTACCAGAACTGCAGACACTGAGGACCAGTGTTTGAACACTGGGAGCTGATGAGACGAGCTGTGTCACCATAGGTTGCATTTGTGGACTCAATATAGATGTAGTGGCCATCTAGTCAAAAGGAAATTTATATATTTTCATACAATTTCTCAGAGTAAAGCAGTGTTCTCGCCCTGCAATCTTCAAGGGCCAGTGTCCTGCCACATTTAGCTGCATCCCTTGTCCTCAACACCAAATCAATGGCTACACTGCCTCAATAGCATGCTGTCAAGCTTGATTGAGCACTACTGAGGAGCCAAGTGTGCTGAAGCAGAAAGACAGCCAAAAGTTGCAGGACCAGCCTTTGAGGACTGGAGTTCGAGATCAGAGTTAGAAAATAACCATTACCACCAGTGTGGTCGCTAGAGGGACCAGTCATCTCAGTAGGGGTGGAGCCATTGTTCCTTTCCCAATCAAATGCGTCAGTGATCATCTGCTGCCAAGTGCATAAGCCATTCTGGAAGCTACAGTCAAAGTTGCAGACTATAGAGACATTTTGGAATGAGTATTAAAAGGCAACTATTCCACTTCCTGAAACATCAAGTCTGAGTTTTACATTTCATCATGTGCTAGATATGGCAATTCAATCATCAAGTTGCAAGTAACTTCTAAAGAGAACTTCATGTGGACATACTTTGGTGTGATGAGGGTACTTCTGTAGTTGTGAAAGTTAGTGCAGTTCCTGATACATTGTGGAAGGCATCTAAGTCATAAAAAAGTAAATCATAATTCATATACATCACTTAATATAATTGGTGTATGCATGTTCAATAGGCAGTATTCACCTGAGCATGACCCAGAAGTGATAGCAATGTCATCTATAGCCAGGTCTGACTGAGCAGTGGAGCCTCGAATTCCCTCAATTATTAACTGAAAGAAAGTTATCACAGTTCTTTCCAAGACAATAGAATTAGCATCTTTGAGGTATATGAAAAAAATAACCATACCTTGAATGGACCAGATATTTTCAGGTCAGCTTTTCCCAACTGCCACTCAGGTCCTTTGTTGTCCACAATACCCCATACCTTTGTAGCCTTATTGCCTTGGAGTTGATAGACATTCAGAACCACACTGGTGGCTGAACCAAGCATGTGGTACCAGAAGTGGAAGCAGATTGGGCCATCAAGCTGGCATGACTGGCTCAACAGTCGAGCAGAATCACCATGGGTTACATCATCTCCCTCAAGGTACATGTAAAAACCATCTAGAAGCATCACATTAGTCATCGATACTGAAATTGAGTGGGGGAAAATAAATAAATTAAATAAACACCCTACCTCCTGTGGAGTGGTCCTGGTTTGGTCCTGTCAAATTTGATGGTGTAGATCCAGAATGTCTTGTCCAATCAAAACTGTCTTGAATGAGCTGTTCCCATCCACACATACTTGTGTCAAAGCTGCAGTTAAGGGGACAGGCTACAAAAAATAAAAATAAAAATAAATAAGCCATTTGACAAGCCAAATAAGAGTTTTGGCCAAGAAGTGCCATTGTATATCTTACAATTGATGTTTGGAGATATAGTGGCTGGATTTGTTGGAACTACAGTTGAGAAATCTGAAAATTAATGGGAGCAAGCATTAATCTTTTAGCCAGTTTATGTCAAGGTGCTTTACATCGAAGTATTGGATAAAGGGTCAAATATTCACCACATGTTGTGCCAGTTTGCCAGCTAGAGAGTTCCACTCCTTCAAGTTGGCATGCTGCGGCATACGATTTCAGGGATTCGCAAAAAGTGGGCTGATCACCACTTGTGGCACAATAGTCATATACGCAACTGCTAAAGTAGATGCTTGGGTGAACATATTCATGGCAGGCCTCAAAGGCCCCATGAAACACCATGGAGCATTCCTCATTGGCCACAGTCCCATCGTTGTCACATTCTCTAGGATCATTTGGATGGGCTATGCATCTAAAAAACAATTTGGAGTGATCATCTGTACCCAGTAAATTACACAAGATCAAAGTTCCCATATTTAAATTTAACATCTACTTCTCACCAATAGAAAGTGAAATTGTATGCTTAGTTTCAACTATGTTAGTGCAACATTTAAATTTTACCCCAGCTACAGGGTAACTCAGAACATGCAGATATACTTTGTTTTACTTTTAGAGCACCTCAAATTCCCTTTGTGCTGCTGTCATGAACACCAACATGTTCATGACAGCAAGGACTACAAACCTGACATATCATTTAGTAATGTACAAGAACACCCAGGTACATTTAACACAACTGATACAACTTTCTAGCATCAACTGGCCCTCCAGATAATATTCTACATCAACTTACTCTTCATTGGTATCACTTCTCCAGCTGTCACCAAATTCAAATGATTCAGAGGCAATATGGCCTCCCGGCATCATGAAGTCATCCTCCTGATATCCAGAGTAGGTGCCACAAAGACCACAGAGTTCATATTTGTAACGTTCATCCACTTGCAAGAACAATCTGCTGTGTCTGTCCAGCCATAATTTCAAGCCAAAGGTAGTCTCCAGAATGATGTAATCCTTCTTCACATAGATCCACACTGAGCCATATGACCCATTGGTTGAATAAGGAAGTCTGACAGAGACTCCATGGACCTGAAGAAAACAGCATTTGCAGCATAAAAGAGATGGAGACAAAAATGGTCTTTCATTCTAGTTACCTCACAAGTGAATCATTTCATTAAAGTTGGAGGCTTTAAAATTTTAAGATAGTAAAATTTGAAATAGACTTATGTCCTTATGTAAATCATTGCTATAGTTGAGGACAATGAAAACCAATGCCCTTCCCACCTCCAGTTTAATTTGGCTTGCATCATCATATCTACTTACATCAACTTGACCGCTCTGATTCAAGGTGAGGTCCAGTCCATCAAGCTTAAGAACCACAGCTTCAAGTTTAGCTCTAGTAAAATTGTGTCCAGCAGGGTGGATGTTGAAGCCAATTACAGTGAACTGCACTGTGCTGTGCCTGCCACATGTTGTAGTGAGAGTGTAAGCACAGCCGCCTTGAAAGTTGTAAGCCTGTTTGTCAAAGGTAATATAATGTGGATCGCCATACACACTACAAGTGGCAGGTTTGAATGGGAAGCAGCCTTTGATGCCATTTTTTTCTTTACAAACTTCATCACTTGCACATGTCATTGCAGTGCATTGCATGGTATCATTACCAATGCACTGGCACTGTTGCACACAGTCTCCTTCCACAGTCATTCCCCCTCTCTGTCAAGAAAAAACAAGTTTAAGTAAAATGAAACTTAAAAAAAAAAAGGAAAAAAAAATATCCAGTTACCTCATAGTGTTTTCCATTATACCAGCACCCACAATGCTCTGCTGGGACACACTTATCCCCGCTGAGCTTGAACCCAGGGTTGCACTCGCATCTTTCCTCACAGCTACCACATAAACCTGCTTGATCTAGACTGGAGCACACCTCTGGACAGCCATCAGCACATGAATTATAATGGCTGTTCTCACCACACTCTAGCGCTGAAAGAGAACATAATATGAGATCCAGCCACAAGTCAAAGTTAAAGATGATCAATGTGACCTACAGCAGAAAGTAGCATTCCTCCATGTTGGTATGGCAATTCCAGCCTCTTGGCAGACATCTGCATAGGTTTTCAACACTTTACATAGTACTTTTTGATCACCATGAGTAGAACATAAGCCAAGTAAACAAGCATGGAAATAGCTTTCAGCACCTATATCTGCCAGACAGGACACAAAGGGCCCAGAAAGAGAACGAAGGAGTCCACAGTGATTCTCACTGCTATAATGAGCCTCATCCTGTGGGCTACACTGTTGTGGTACTTGAATGGCTTCACAGGAGGAGACATTTCCCCCAGTTTGCCAACTCTTAGCCAAAGCTGTGGCACTTTCAGCTTTTGTGCCATCAGGCTTGAGAAAGTCATCTCCTGGGAGCTGATTGAAGTTGCCACACAAGCCACAAACTCTATCAGAATATTGAAATGGAATTCTGAGCTGAAGAGCCCCTGTATTGTCGAAGGACACAGTCACTCCAAAACTGCTTTCCACTACTATAGCAGCCGCGTTGCTCTCAATACGGATTGTACCATTGTTCAGGTTTAGGGGAATCTTTCGCCAGATGCCATTAACCTGAGGGGAGAAATAAAATAAATTCCATCTATAAGTCAGGATCATGCAACATTTTACATAGAAGTTTCAAGCTTTGGATACTGCTGCAAATCTTTAGAAGTGCTGAGTTTCATAGAGCTCTGACCAGTTAAATGCAGAGTCAGGAATATTCTGAGCACATTATGATACAGCTTTAGACTTTCTTCCAATGAAGGTTTACAACATATTCAATTTGAGTAAGTCCAGTGTCAAGCTGGTGCATTACATAAGTTACAGCCATACACTTACAATTTCAACATACTCTACTCCATTCTTGTTAAACACACAAGTGATCATTTTATCACATTTAAAAATAAAAAAAAGATAAACATGCCAGTGACACTTTGACAGTTTGTGAATAAGGCTGTCATGAACAAAAGTCTTCATGAATATTTGACTGTCATAAACTGTCATTCAGTAAATTATGACACTTTTAATACAAAGTTGACATTATTCAAAATGTTTTTGCAATATTAACCATTACTGATTAAACCCATGTAGCTTTATGTTATAAAAACTAAAGTTAAAGACTTACTCATGTTAATGACTGGTGTCATGACAGTCTTATTCACAACCTGTCAAGTAAAATGTTACCAAATGTCTACATTTAGACGCTCATTAAATGTTGTAACAGTTAACTTTAAACAGTTACTTTGAGGAAACTTACCACAACCCAGTGGGTCTGACTCTTTAGCAAGGATACCCTCACATTTCCCAGGTTTACATTGATTTGCTGTATGGTAGTCTGCAACACATTGCTGGTTTGCTTGTTGACTACCTCAACTGTGAATTTTGGCAGAGCTTCAGATGCCGAGTACGTTTTGGCCAGTACATATGTGCAGGGGGAAGTGAAGCGGAACAATGCACCATCAAAGGTGCGACAATCTGTGCTGCTGTGAATAGTACATATGCCCGAAGGGGAAAAGTTTCTGGGTTCATCTCGTTGAGGATCACATATTTGGCCCTTAGGGCAATGAGAGAGAAAGCAGAACAGCTGACCAACTGAGCATAGGCACTGTGTGGAGTCCCCAGTCCACAGGTCAGTATTTGGGTCACACTGGTTTCCTGCAAGGGTAAGATTATGGTCAGGAAACAAAAAAAAAACAAAAAAAAAAAAAAAAAAAAATCATGGCTCAGAGCTTCACATTTGTAAGGGTAAGCAGCACTTACTACATGATCCATTTCTTATGCCAATCTCTTTTAATGTAGTCTGGTCTACAGACAATGGATAGACAGCTTCAAATATGACCTATTAGACAAATTAATTTGTTACTAAAACAGAATTTCAACTGTAGGACAATTCAGCACAGATAATATAAAGGCTTTCACCTGAGTGCCTGGTTCGGTGAGGTTCAGGGGCACAGAGACTTGTCTCCATGCATGTCTGGGGAGAGGAGGAGAAATCCAGATTTCCACTTGCCTTAACCCACTTGTCAGCAAAGCACGTAATGTAGCGCCACTAGAACCACCTGAAGCCAGATGCCAGAACTCCAAGCAGGCCTTGTCAGTAACAGTTAGTGGATGGCTTGCCAGGATTTTCACTGTATTATTGCCTGGATAGGGAGATAAAAATGTAAAACCCATTTTAAGAGAAATGCTCAAACACTAGATAACAGTACTGCAACTGAATTTTTATTTAGATGTGTAATTATGCACCATTTCAAAAAGAGCCAACAGTCTTTAGGTTAGCACATGATTTTGAGCATTATTTGATCTCAAAGGAAGAAAATAATTATTGCCTTCAACTAAATTAGTCAGCCTCTCTACCACATGTTATCTTTAGTACCTGTTTGGCTGCTTGTCCAGTCACAAGTCAGATTCTCATGTTGGCTGTAGAAACACCGGTCAACATAATCTAGAGATTAAAAAAAATAAAAACAATGCATTATACTAAAGAGGTGTCTGCTCTGACTTTCCAGACATCATTTCCATTGTTCACAATTCTCAGTGATGTGGTACCTGAGGTGTCCTTCCACCCTGGTAATTTTATCAAGGACAAATCATTCTCAGCTCTAAAAAACAAAAAGGTAGTCCAAGATTATCTTTATAAAGACAGTATTTATTAAAAAAAAAAAAAAAAAAAAAAAAAAAAAGATCCTTACTTGCATATTGAGTCCAAATGAGCCAAAAAGATTAGCACCAATGTGATCAATAAATCTGTGTTGAGTTTTCCCAGCATGGGTGAACCGACAACAGCTTTTCAGCTGTGACCAACTCAAACTCTTCAATAAGTCAGAGGTTTAGAGAGTAGTAGCCTTCCTGTAGAGACAAACAAGCCAACAACCACCAGTATGAAGTTAGAAGCTCAAACTCTGAAAGAACTGGGAGTCAAAAGGTATATATTATCCCCTACAACCAGTTAACTTAGTGGGAGGAGAAACAAGCAGCCTGGGTTTGGCATGTGAGTGCTCTAAAAAGGTCATGACAGCCAACCAACAGTTTCAGTAAATGGTGACAGATGAGGCAAGGTTTGGGACTTCCAGGTCATAAAAAGCACTGAACCAAAGCAAGCTCCACTAAAAACCAGGTTAAAAATAAAAGGCTAGTAGACTGACTGTTTCATTAACTTGTGAAAAGTGAAGCATTAGTCATGGGAAGGTTAATGAAATGACCATAATATGGATCAGTCCTAGTGAAAAGTATAAACAAATGAGTTTTACTTTTCAGTTAAAAGTACTGAGCTCAAGTTTTTGTTTGAAATAAAAAAAAAAAAAAAAAAAAAAGGTATAAAACTCACCCCTACGGACTCAGTCACCCTGCTCTGTAGGTCTTGGTTTCAATGCCCCAGAACAGGTGATTTAAATAGTGGCTCATCAGTAAGCCTTTGAGGAACAAAGACACCCAGTTAACGCAGATCATCTATTTGAATCAGGTGCTCTGGAGGAAAGACAGCTTAATGTCCAAGACCATCATTGAGAAATCCTGATCTAAACTGTATGGCAAATATTTTCTGTACATGGATAATAATGCCAGTTAAACACATACCTACTAAAATAAAAATAAATTAATCAATTTGAGGGTTTTTTGTTTATGTGTACATATTCTCACAATTCTTTTAATACAAGTAATATAGATGTGGTACTCTTTTGAAACATTCTCAGCTGATATTTCTGCATGTTATAAAATAATGAAGTTCCCATTCTGGTATGTACTAAGGCTGTCATTTTATCTTTTATTTAATTGCAAAGAATATGCTAAAAAACAAACTACCAACTTGTACAGAGAATATATTGTGACCTGATGATATAGGTTGGGTTTGCAGAGGTAAATGTTTAGTATATATGTCAGTCAAGTAGCCTGACAGGACTACATGTAAGGACGAGAAATGAAAAAAAGATGCACTGTGCGTGGGAAGTGCTATCTGGACCATTTATTGTTAAATACTCGAGGCAGCGTGTGTAAACACAGAACTTCCCCCTACATAGTGTTCCCAAAAATAGTTGTCTTTATTAGTGACCTACGAGTACTAAAAACTACTCATCCGGAGCATTTATGGTGTACAATAAATGTTGCAGAGCTGCACTGAATGACGTATACTGACCTAAAAAGTCTGCAGTAATTTTTGCTGCATGCTGTTTTAGAGCCCTTTATATTTGTGGGGTCTTTATAAAATCTCATTATGTGCAAATGCAAAAAGGAATCAATATATTAAGACTTAGCTGTAATTTTGACCTTTAATTGAATTTAACTGGATAACCCGACAACAATGCAGAGCTACCTGATAAGTCAGCAACAGCAGATAATATTCATTTAATATCTGGGTGGGTTCAATTTTGTCATTGCTTCAAAATGGGAGTTGCCTGTATCCTGAAGCCTATCTCCAAGTCTATCTCCAAGTCAAACACAGTTGGGTCTTACACAACTTCATTATGTAAGGTTAATGAAGTTAAATGTTGACTGCAGACATATTCATTTCAATGTTATCTGAGAGCGTCTCTGATTTGGAACCTTTCTGTCTCAGCCAGAGGAACAAAACAGCAGTGATATACTCCATAGTAACCTTATCAGTGTTACCTAATAATCATAATGAGTGTTGAAATATGACATTTTGAGAACACTGCCAAACCACATACCTATAAATCCATAAAGCTGTATTTGTCACTGTTTCCCCCACCCCCTGCAAACAGGCTCAATTAATAATAAACCTTGTCCACAGGAAGCAGGAGATGAAGCAACAAGGGTCCAGGAGCATGTACAAAATAATATGCTGTGGAATATTCCAAGGGTCACTTAAAGCAGATACCCTGATCCATGACAGACAGTTAATGAACCTCTGCTTGCTATTTATATCTACATAGACCACAGTGTTCACAAATAGTACACCATAGCTAAGAGGAGACAAAAAACATGCTAGATCTGTCAGATATTTACAAAACTCAGCAGTGATTGCTATGCTACTGTGTCTTTTTTTTAAATTGAGAATATGTGTTTCATTTTAAAAAAGCAAGAACTGAAAAAAAAATTCAGGGGCAGATTTCAGGAAGATAATGAAGATGAACATTAAAAAAATATAATAATTCATGAAGTTCAGGTGGAGTTGGAGTTCTCTATTTTGAATTTATTACGATACAAAATTATTGTGGTTGAGTGGTGGTTATGAAGATTTTGAGCTCCCTTGAGTTAAGAGGTCAGCAGTAATAAGTAAACAATCCATTAGCTGTTGAATGGCAGCATAACTTTCCTCTTCTCAGATTTTCCATCTCTGTAAGTTTAAGGTTATCCATCTCTTTATGTTTCTACAACTATTTTTACATGTTTTTCTTTAGTTTATCATTTCTTAGTGTCCCAGTTGGTAGTTTCCCACATGTCGGTTGTAATTGTAATAATGCAAAAATTGAGTAAACCTCTCATGCAACCAAACAAGGACACACAGGACATCAGAAGCACTAAAGGAGTGACTAAATCATAAGATGTATTTTTGCATCCTAAACCTGTCTTCAAAAAAAGCAGCCCTTGCATGTTCCAATGAGAACATCTATTGACACAAGCAAACAAACAAATGAGCTAGTTCACATGAGACAAAGTACAGCTCTAAATTAACCTCTTAACAGCTTGATATGCAGTCAAGCACTGAACATCCATGGCCATTTTTCTAGTGTCAAATAGTCTTCAGCTCAGCGTAAAACATCAAAAACTTATTTAACAATGTACTGCAAGGATTTACAGTTTCTCACAGCTGCTTTGGTTCATTACTCAGATCACAACTGAAAATTTTTAAGCTACTTATTTAATCTTCAAATGATTGTGTCAGTAATAAAAAAAGAAACAAAGATATGAATAGTATCTCTGGAGCATGTCTAAAGAGCCACTGGTCCAGAAGCCTCTTGACAGGAAAGCTATTCATCTTGTATTTCACAAATTGTGCTAAAATGGTAGCGCAGCAGAAACAAATGTGTCCTGTTTTGCCACAAACTATATTTGAGGCTGTGTAGAAAACATGAATATTTTTCTTTTGTCATTGTAAACATGAAACAAAATCTCAAGCTTCTCACAGAGTTCAATCCATCAACTAAAAATGGAAACAGCAAGTCTTCCAATAAATGGCTTTTCATAATGGTAGGCTGAGCAAGAAGAGCAGTAGTCAGCGATGTAGCCTATGAGAAGCATTAGTTATACTCCCTAAATCATCATCATAAAGTAACAATTGTTTTTATTTCCACTCTGATAGCCTTTATTTGACAGTAGTCAGACAGGAAATCAGGTGTGAGAGAGGGGGAGGACATGTGGCAAAGGTGAATGGACTGGCAATCGGATCGCTGCGCCATCGCCACGCCCTCTGTATATCATCCTGAACACATCACACCTGCCATGAAACACTGTGGTGGCAGTCATGCTGCAGGTTTGCTTTTCTTTTTAAATATTTAGGTTTTGTTGGCTGTAGTGGCCTTTCTTTGAAAGTCACCAGACAGGAGAGTAGGTTGGGAGAGATGGGGAAAACATGTGGCGGAATCTCAAACATGTGACGGCCTTGTCAAGGACTAATGCCCTCTATATGCTTTACCCCTGCGACACCACATCACCTAGGGATGCTTTTTGTAATGCATAATAAAATAAAATGTATGACAATAAAATACAGAAGTTTGTACTTGAAATGTGACAAACTGTTTGAAAGGCATTTTATTACAGATCCGTTCATTCCTTGGAAAAAAGTTTTTTTAGTGCTGCTTCACAAAGACTTGAGAATCTCCTTGGCCCTTTTTGTCAGAGTTCAGACTTACCCAACCTATTCTTAAGGTCACCTCGGCCAGAGAAGAAATCAATCCTCAAAGTAGTGTTCAGTCTACAAATAGGTCACTCAATGCCGTTTAAAAAACTATTTTCAGTTCTTGAAGAATTCCTCAGCTGTAGCACCAAGGTCAAATTTGGAGATGATTAGAGGATGGAACATCTTGTGGAAATTATATGACATCTACTCATACTTTTATCAACTCCCCATTATAATCTCATTCCACAGACTCAAACCTGTACCAAATAGGACTAAGGACTCTGTAAACAGGTTAGAGATCTATTTAGATACATATTTATCTATGTTGAAAGCATTATTTTATGTGATGGAGTGGATGCTCTGCTGATGTCAAGTTTCACATCTCAAGAATGTGTTTGTGAAATTGGAGGAGGAGAAAGGAGGTGCTTGCTAGGGACCTATTTTTCTCAGAATCACCAGTGTATGGAATGTGAAGCAAGGCACTCAAGGTTTACCGCAAGGTTATGCAAAATAAGTATATAAGGACTAATTAGGTTTCAATACGCAGCGGCTCTTTAATATTCATTATTCATCTTCAGTTGACTTGGCAGAACATTTATTCATTTCACAGGGAGGGCTCAAACTTGTTAACATTTCACCCCCAAGCTTTGAAATTGAACAGATGTTTAAGAAGCAATAAAGCAACAAATAACCTGTCTCAGTCCAACCATATTTCCAATGAATGCAGCCAATTTACCTTTTTATTTTTTTATGTTTTTTACTTCACTACTGTGTCACCTCTCTGTTTTTCTGTGTCTTTTCTGTTTACATGAGGTATGGGCCAAGCTTTCCTTCCATTTGATTCTGTCCCACTGTCACGCTTTGTGGAGAAGTTTCTGTTCGATTGAGCTGGTGTTTCTCGCAGTGTGGTTCTTCCCTTTGCAAACAGAGGCTGACTTCTCCTTGTGCTGTGTGGTTACTAAACAGGTTGTTTAATGAATACAGGTGCTGCGGTTCTGCTCTGACTGTCAGGGTGACACGATCAATCCTGATGGCAGGCTGCGTTTAATTGTCTTCTGTCAGCACTCAGGGGAGACAGAGGAGAAAAGAAAG